CAAGGCCTGGGGGCTCCAGCGGGAATGACCATGTGCGGTGTCCCCTGACTTCAGCAGCAGGTCTGAGCCAGGCTTGGAACTTGATAAAACATGCAGGGCCTCAGGTCCACAGAGGGGAGGGCAGAGTTGCTGCCCAGAGCCAAGTGGCATCCATGGCTTCACATCCGGGTCAGCGAGCCTGTGGGCTTCAGTGAACGGAACAGGGCCTCAGGGAGGCAGAGGGAGGGCCCAGAGCCTGCCAGAGTCAAGGTGAGGACCAGGAGGGACGACTGAGGGGACCCAGGAACCCCCAACATAGAGCTCCACAAAAGCTCACTCTCGCTCTTTGCCATGGTAGGGGCCGCGAATGCTTTCCAGGTATAATGTTCAGTGACTTCTGCCCGGAAGTCTGAGAGCGGCGAGGACCAAGTCTGGAGGATTGCTACACGTCCACAGAGGGAAGGAGCCTAGTCCTGCAGAGAGTCCCGGTATGACCCTGAGGGAGGATTGCCCCCCCACCACCACCACAGAATCCAGCTTTGCCCCTTCTGTCAGCACCCTGAGTCCCAGGGACTAAGCTGATTGGCTGAGTGCTACTAGTATTTCCTGGAAATCACCAGCTCCCACCTCCTTATATAACTTGGGAGTCAAGGACATGGTCAGAAAGGAGCAACTGGAGGTTTGCAGGGGGCAGGGCCCAAACTTTGCCTGGAAACAAGATGAGGAGGGAGGGAGGGGTAAATACCTTATTGAATCGTTTCAGCCCCCTGCTGGGTGCCCTGGGAATCCCATGGTTTGGTGGCCTGATGTAAACTGCCCCTTCTTTGATCCCTTGTACAAACTTTGGAGGTATTAATCACAAGGGGAATCTGTTGACTTCCACATTCTGATCTTGGAGAGACTGAGAAATGTATATAGGAGCAGCTGTTCAGTCGGCTAGAGTGGAGGTGCCAGGTTCTACAGGGTGTCAAGGTGAAGACCCTAAGGCAGGGGTCCTCAAACTACGGCCCACGGGCCACATGAGGCCCGCCGAAAACATTTATCCGGCCCGCCGGGTGTTTTTGCCACCGCTGTGTGCATAGGAATTTGTTCATAGTTTTGTTTTGTTTTTAAACTATAGTCCGGCCCTCCAACGGTCTGAGGGACAGTGAACTGGCCCCCTGTTTAAAAAGTTTGAGGACCCCTACCCTAAGGACTGAGAACCCAGGACCCCAAAGCAGAGATGGATCCAGTGCCCGAACTTGGATATTTCCTCTCCTCTGCCTGGGCAGTGTGGGTGCCCTCTGGAGGCATAGGCCTTGGACTAAGGAGTGTGGTTTCAGGTCAGCAGATGGTGGCCTTGGCCTTCAGGATGCATTCTCTGGTTAGGAAAAGGGATAGATCTAGGCCCTGCCAGGAGTAATTTTGTATACCTTAAATTCATTGAGTCCAGCTTGCTATGTTCTCAGATCCAGGAGGACCCTGTCAGGGATGCCTGGGTGTGGCAACCTCCCACTACTGCCACAGTGTTTGGGATGGGGGATCTTGGGGATGTGAGGACCTAAGTCTGAGAGAAATGTGAGGTCAATGGAGGGAAGTGTTCATGATCTCTCAGGTGACAATGTGCTTACCCTTTGTGAAGCCTAAATGTGCACCGTCTTCTCAGAAAGGGAAGGATGACACAAAGTCCAGGTGGCCCCTGCTCTCAGACCTGAAAGAAGCATATTGGCCCTAAGTGATATGCTTCTTTCTATCATGGGCAGAAAAGTGGGGAGTCATCCAGGAGGTGAGGCCTTGATGGGAGAGACCAAGTATTCCAGGTGGGAGGCCTGGAAGAAGGGCAGGTCCTGGCAGGAGTAACAGTGAATCACCTTCAGGGGCACTGGGGAACCCTACCAGGACAGAGATCCCTGTCTCTGCTGCCAGCCTTTTGTGAGGTTGGCAGGGGTAGGGATGATTTGGGGCATGGATATGAAGCTGCCTCACTTTGCTCTATCGTCTCTTAGGGAGGTGATGACCTTGATCTGAGAGAACATCAGGCCATTTGAGGAAGTACACCTGTTCAACTGAGAGCAGAGTCCTACGTCCTGCCAAGAGTCAAGGTGAGAATCCTAAAGAAGGAGTGAGTGTAGCCCAATCCCCAGAACAAAGTGGGGGCCCCCAAAGAAATCTGGCCTGTCCCTATTGTCAGCTTTGAAAACCCTGTGCAGGGCTGTCAGGTTGAGCCCCTCCCCATTTTCAGATCCAAGGACCCAGGGAGGGCACATCCTTGGTCTGATGGTCTGGACTCAGGCTAGCTGAGGCAGGACCCCAGGCCTTGGCACGGGTCATGGTGAGGAATGAGGGGACCCTTCACACTAGGACATGCGGAACCCATAGATTATGGTCACACAGTGTTGTCCTTTGATGAGTACTATAAGCCTGGACAGGTACTACAAAATATGGGAACCACTCACTTACTTCTGTTAAGTTTTAAGGATGCGTGTTCTTGTTGTAAGAGTGCTCTCAGGCCAGTGGGGCATGGGGGTGGGGAAAGCAGGTCCTGAGTGGGCACAGAAGGATCCTTGCCCCCAGAAAGGAAGACATTTCATAGCACACGACCCCACTATCAGACCCAGAATCTCTGGCTGTGCCAGTTTTTTGTTTCCACCTTCAGGATATTAGGGGACAGGTTTCCCAGCAGGAGAGACCCCTGTGAGACCTAAGGGCATCCCTGTAGAGTAGCCCTAAAATTCTTCATTCACAGAGCTGCCAAGGGTGTGTTCCTCAGCTGAGGATACTCAGGTATCCAAAACCTGTTGCAGGTGCAGCTATTCAGGGATGAGGAGGACTTGGTTATGTCTGCCTCCTTATCTTTGTCCCTCTCTGCCTTGTTCCCACACAGCCGAGAGCAGGTGTCTGCTGCTGAGACACCAAGTCCTCCCCAGAGCCCTCCGGTTCCTGACGCTGTGCCCCTGCTATGGCGGCCCCTACATGGAGCCAATCTGAAGATGAGGGCGTCAGCAGCCAAGATGAACAGGAGACAAACAGCAGAGAGCACTCTGAAGGTTCTGAGTCAGCACTCCACGATGCCCTATATTTGAAAATGACTGAACTGGTGGAGTTTCTACTCCCGAAGTATCGTGAAAAGCAGCCAACTACTAAAGCAGAAATGCTGAGTAAGGTCATCAAAGAGTACGAAGATCAATTCCCTGAGATCTTCAGCCTAGCCTCTGAGTTCATGCAGCTCCTTTTTGGCATCGATGTGGAGGAAGTGGACCCCAGTTCCCACACCTATGCCCTGGTCACCACTTTGGGGCTCACATATCAGCAGGTGCCCAACAGCGATCCTGCTCGCTACCAGTTCCTGTGGGGCCCCAGGGCCCACGCTGAGACCACCAAGTTGAAAGTCCGTGAGACTTTTCTCAGGGATTATAGAAAGGATCCCAGTTATGTCCCATACCTGTCTGAAGAAGCTACAAGTGATGAGGAAGAGGGGGCCTGAAGCAAGTTTCACTCAGGAACCTTTCAGGTCCATGCCTGGCAGCTTCTCCTGCTAGACATGATGTGAGGCCAATTCTTTACTCTGTGTCTGAAAAGAGGGTAGTCCACAGTCTAGGTAGTAAGGCCCAGGGCTATTTGCGGGGAATAAGGGCTGTAGCATCTTTGGGTTCCTGTGATGATTTAAAAATGTATCCTTGTTTTCTGTAGAATTCTTCAAATGTTTCTTTTCATAGGTTTTATATGCTTCAGTTTGTGAATGACATTGACCAGACATGTATTTGTACTATCCAGTTCAAAAGTAAGAGTTTTGCTATTGTGTAATAAAAAATGGGACACCTTTCAGTGTACTTTGTGATTCTGAACTAGATAACATGGCATCAGAACAGTATTTTCTTGGAAATGTGAAAAAACTTGAAGGAGAAAGCGAGACAGCTCTCAGGGTAAAGCTGGCACAGACCAAGGTACTGAGGTTGACAGTGGTGTGGTGTGGGGTAAGGGACTGTTGGGTTTACTCTGTTATGGGTGGATGGTCCCTTTACTGGTCACTCAGAGCCCTCACATATTCTTTGGCAGGGCTTGGGCCCCACCCTTCTGCTGGCCTGAGACAAAACTCTCAGAATAAGACCACACATCCCTGAGACTGAATAGAAGAAAGTGAGGGGGCCTACATCTGGCCTTTATACTCCCAGTGGTTCTGGGATGGGATGACAGCTGGGTCCTCACCAGGACCTCTACCAGGGCCACAGATCCTGCTTTAGCTGACCTGACTTCAGACCCTCAGACCAAGGCCCTCTGGTCCCTGAGACCACCAATCTGGAAATGAGGAGGGGCTCAGCCTGACAGCCCTGCATGGGTTTTCAGGGCTGACAATAGGGACTGGACAGATTTCCTTGAATCCCCTCTTTGTTCTCAGGGTTGGACTACACTCACTCTTCCTTTGGGGGCACTCACTTTGACTCTTGGCAGGACCTGGGACTCTGCTGTCTGTTAGCAGATGTGTTTCCTCAGTTGACTTGAGCTATCTCCTCAGACCAAGGTCCTCACCTCCCCGAGAGCCCCGAGAGAAGAGCTCCAAGGTCAAAAAAAGACTGGCAGCAAGGACTGGGCCCTCTATCCTGGGGTGGGGTTTCAATTCTTCCTATAGGTTACTTATCTTTAGTTCTGCCAAGGCCTGCCCTTCCTCCCAGCACCCAATATAGGGTAGTTGGCTTCTCCCCCCCTAAGACCACGACCTAACCTCCCTGAGGACTCCCTACCTTCCCACCAATGACAGAAAGGATTGTGCCACGTAGGGCCACTAGTGACTATTCCTTTCAGGGCTGAGGACATATGGCAACCGGACTCCGGGTCATCCTTTCATTTACGATAAGCAGGTGAGAACATTAAGGTTTCATGAAGGGCCCACATCTTGACATATGGCCGATCCTGGGACTCCTCCTTCTGCTGACCCCACCTTTCCCCTAAGACACCCCATCCCCAGCCACATGGCAGTCATGGGAGCATGCCACACCCATCCATCCTTGCCTGGATCCTCCCAGGCCTGAGAACAAGACAAGGTTAACTCTGTAAGGTCCCTTATCTTTTGGGCTGGTGGAACCTTCATACTCCACCCTCCCTTTCTTGAGACCTGGCAAATCCTGGGACTCCTTTCTCTGCTAACCAGATGTGGCTGCTTCTGCTGACCTGAAATTGCCCCACAGAATAAGGCCTTACCTCCCCGAGAGACCAAGGCAGAGTTGGTGCATCACCTGCAGCCACCTGTACGTGGGGACTTTAAGGAAGACAGGAGTAGGCCAATTTGAGTGGGCTCCCTATGTCTGTAGTGGGGGTCTGCTAAGTCCTCCATCAGGGTACTGGGACCCCACCAACTGCGGATTTGCTGTCACACTCCTCATCCCAAGGCCTTTATATCCTGAAGCCCCCAAGGCAGAAGTCAGGAATCATTTTATCTGGTTATCCTATTCTTGCCTTCAGAGACTGAAAGCAGGGGCATAGAATCCATCTCTGATTTGGTATCTTGGGTCCTCAGTCCACCCTCAGGGTCCTCACCTAGACTCCCCGCAGGACCTGGGTCTGCCCCCACCCATGTGGTGGTTTGAGGCCCTGATCTTTACATGAAGTTCTCAGTCTCTCATAGACCTGGATGCAAAAGTCAGGAAAGACCACATGTGATTAATAGCTCCAAGGGGTGTCTCAGGGCTGACAGTAGGGGTGGGCTTCTGTTGGGTCACTTCTGTTCTGGGGTTCAGGGTACACTTAGTCTTGCCTCAGGGTCCTCCTCTTGACTCAGACAGGAGTTGGGATCCTCCCCTCTGTTGCCTGAGGTCCTGGTCCTTATACCAAACTCCCAGAGTCTTTCAGACCCAGACTTGAAAGTCAGGACACACTGCGTGTGGTTTTCCTGCCCTTGGAACCTCTCAAAACTGACTGTTCTGGGGTCCAGGGTCCTTTTGGCCTTCTTTGGGGTCCTATCCTTGATCCTAGCATGACCTGAGATTCTCTTCTGCTGCCTGAGGTCTTACTCCTTATACCAAACCCCTAGAGTCTCCCAGACCTGAATGCAGAAGTCAGAAAATGTCATATTTGTTCATCCTCCCATGAGGCCTGCCAGAATTGGCTCTGTTCTGGAGTGCGAGATCCTCATTCTTCCTCAAGATCGTAACCTTGATTCCACACAGTGCTTCTATCCTTACTTGAGATTATTCTTTTCACCAAGTCCCCAGTCTCTCTCAGACCTGGATGCGGAAGCCAGGACACGCTGCACCTGGTCATCAGTCGTGGGGCCTCCCGTGGCTGATGGCAGGGGTGCACTTTGGTGGGGTCCCTTTTGTTGTCAGCCCTGGGTTCCCTTACCTTTCTGTAGGATCCTCATGTTAACTCTGGCAGTTCCTGGGCCTTCCCTCTGTTGCCTGAAGCCCTGTTCCTTATACCAAATCACCAGAGTCTCACAGACCCAGGTGCAGAAGTCAGGAAACACCATGTATGGCCATCCCACCTTCTTGGCCTCCTAGAAATAACTGTCCCTTTGTCGTCCCCCATGGCCTTTACATTGAACCCTTGTAGGTTTTGGAATCTCTTTCTGTTGATCCAAGGCCCTCACTGTTAAGTCTGAGAACATCACATCAGTCCACTAAGCCTGGGGATTCCCAGGGCTCCCAGCAGGGCCTGAAATAGATTCCATGGGGTCCTCCCTCTGTTCCTCACCCTGATTCCAGGCAGAGTCTGGGTCCCACCTGTGCTGACCTGAGATTGCTTCCCTCAGAACTTGTCCTTGACTCCCTGTTCTTTGAGGAGGTGGGCGAGGGGTGCAGGAAATAATTCTCAGTAAGGCACCCTACCCTGGGCTCTCAGTGCTGACAGCAGGGCCACCCTGGGTCCTGGGGCCTCAGTCCTCCCTCAGGGTCATACCTGCACTCTCTGCAGCACTGGGCTCCTTCCCTCTACTGACATGAAGCTGGCCTTCTAGACGCAGGCTCAACTCTCTCAGACTTCTGAGGTGGACGTCAGTGAAGGTCATATCTGGACAGCATTTCTGCCCCCACCCCAGGGCTGACAGTAAGGATGAAAATAGGTTCTGTGGGTGCTGAAGTACTCCCCACTCTGGTCCTCACCTTTATCTTGTAGGACCTGAGCCCCTGCCTTCTGCTAACCTGAGTCTGTGACCAAGGCTGTGGCTCCACCATTTCCCTGAGAAAGTGGAGGGGACATGGGTGCTCAGTCTGACAGTCCTCCTGGGATTCCCCAGAACTAACAGTAGTACCCAGAGTTGGATTCTGGAGTGCCTTCTGTTCTGGTGTGAATAGATCCTTCAGTCCTCACTCAGGAGAGGGCCTCACAACCCTTGCAGAGATTGCTGCAGTACCAGGACAGATGCTGCAGGGGGCACTGATGTGCCTAGGGTGTGGGGGAGGGTCACAGAAGCCCTCCCCCACTTTCCATAGCATCTCTTCACCAGCCTGGCTGAGACTTTGGAAAGCATGTGTTCTTAAGGTTTCATTTTTTGTTCATTTGTTTTTATTGATTTCAGAGAAGAAAAGAGAGTTAGAAACATCAATGATGAGAGAGAATCACCGATCGGCTGCCTCCTGCATGCCTCAAACTGGGGACCAAGCCCACAACCCAGGCATGTACCCTTGACCAGAATAGAACCTGGGACCCTTCAGTCTGCAGGCTGATGCTTTATTCACTAAGTCAAACTGTTTAGGGCTAAAGGTTTCATTTTTGTGCTGAAGACACTGAGCAACAGAAGGAATTTGAGGAGGTCCTGCAGGTTTGTGGTTGTCTACCTTTGCTTGTCATTGTAGGAGTTTTTGATCACTTTTTGATCTTTATTCATAGTAATACATTTTACATCTCTACCTAGTGTATTTTTAGAATGTATTTGTGAATATATAATTTCATGAAAGACTACTTACCCTTACTATCTGTGGTTCACTGGTTATTCTATTTCTATTCCATTCTTTACATTAGATTAAAATCATAATTTTTTGACAGACCCATCCTTACCCACTGAGGCGGTTTCAGATGGCTATATACTGACTCCAGGGTATCTCAATCAATGGCACTTTTCTGCTAATCTGGTATTATTCCAGGGATACTAGCATGGCAGTATCCCACCAATGTAGTCTGAGGGCCTCAGATTTGTGAAATGAGCAAGAAAAAAGTTTAAACATTTTCCCCTACCCACCCTGTTGTCTGCATCTATGCAAATTACACCCCCTCCCTATGCGTTACTCCCCATGTCTCTATCCCAAACACAAGTCTTCAGTCTCCACAAGACAACTCACCAGTCTTCAGTCTCTCTGAGGGCTTTCTCATGATTCATTGTTTAGATTTTGTTGTTGACTTCCCCACCTGCTTCCTTCTATAGTTTTCCAGGTTTGATTTGGGGAGCAGAAGCCATCAGTCTGAGCATGGTTGTGATCCTGACAGTTACAGGTAAGGTACTAAATCTGTAAATCATTTAAGCAGAATTAACATGTTTAAAATACTCTGGTCCCC